GGGGAATGTAGGGTCCTATCTTTCCCTACATGAATGTAGATGAATTTTTGGGAAACAGATATTCATTGTTATCAGTTATGCATCCACTGGTGAGCCCAGCCATCTCTGTTCTATATCAGTTTTCTCTGAGTTGAAAGAGTACCTCAGGAGGACTTATGGCATCCACTCTACTCAGGAGAAAAACAAATTACCATGTCCGGAAAGACTGCAGCAAATAACTTTCACAAGTACCTCTCTCCAGTGATACAGAAGCAGAACAGCATTAGGGGAGGATAGCCTCAGATGTCTAGCTGCCTAGATGATGTACGATATGGCTTTCTACACATCCTATAGAGAGCTGCAGGATTGCAGTTTTTATGAGTTCTCACCACTATATCAAGAAACTTTTCCACTTTTTACTAATGTCACCAGGAAAAAAATTGTTCAGAAAAGTTCTTGGCTCCACAGCCCTGTGAACCTATTGCTACTGCAGGAGAAAATTTCAGGACTGAGGGGAAGGGAGGACACAGATTCAAGACCCATGTCTCAGGCACTGGCTTCCTCCTTGCAGCTCACCTGCTGGTCACAGAGATCATGGAACTGAGAAGAGCATGTTTTCAAAAGGAATATCACAGGTATTGTCTCCAGTTGTACTACTCTAGTCAGAGTCCAGAAATCAAAAACAACCAAAAGAGTACAGGTAAATGACCTCACCAGAATATCAAGTGAGTTTGTAAATGACATAAGGACAAGATCTCATCAATCAGAATAAATCCAGAGAAACATGACCCACCAACAGATCACTGAGGTTGTAGACCCCCACACCCTAAATCACCTACATGGATAGGATTCCACAATCACACTGCTCTGATTTAGTATAAGTGATAATGACACCTTGTTTTCAAAGTGCTAAAAGTTGTTTTAAAACCCATCTGTTGCTCATCCCTCCACAGGTGTCCTCCTCCGAATTGTCAGGTTTCTAAGAGCTCTTACTGCAGTGTCCCCATGCACACAGTGAAGAGGATCCAGTCATCCTGGGCAGAAACTGGATCTAGTGCTTAGAGGCTGATTTGCCTTTAACTGGGCACACTAGGAAACAGGCCAGCTCTCTGAGCTTATGTTGAGTTGGATTCCTTCTTAAAGTCAGCTAAAACATCTTAAGGTTAACATTAGCCTTAGTATTATCCACTCCCAACACCTCCAGTCATATATATATACACACACACATATATAATCTTTTATTTGGTTTAAAGAATTGTCTCCCTTTTTAACACAAAAACACCCATCTAACATACATATTCAATCAGAGAATGCTGTAAAAAGTTCAGGGGTACACTGTAGACTCTTTTCATGTTGCACTGCACAGCTATAAACCTAAAACTTATGTAAATATCAATATAATTTGATGTATAGAAATCAATTATTTCAATTATATAATTAATAAGAACTTTCAGGCCAACACAGGGCAGTAGGTATACATGGCCATGACAGTAGGGTTATTTATCAGTCCTCCTCCATCCCTAAGAAAATTATATGCTCAGCTGTATGGAACTGATTTTGGGCCTCTGTGCATATGTGACAATTGTGTAGCTTGGTCTATTTCTGAGACTCCTGGCAATGGGAGTGTGGGTTGTCCCAGTGCTTTGTCTGGCTATTAATAACCTATTCCTCAGGCTAGACTGCCACAAGCAATGAATGCAAGGGAAGGTGTTTGGTCTTATGGTAACTTGATATACCATGATTTGCTTGTGCTCATGGGAGGCCTGCATCTTTCTGAGTTAATATGGAGAAAGAGTGGATGGAGGCAGGGTTCAGGGAAAGGGGAAAAGGGAGTGGCATGAGAGAGGGGGGGAAGACTGCCATCATGATGTAAAATTAATAAATTAATTAAGTAAAATAAATAAATAAATTCTTAGAAAGAAAAATACATGCTCAGTTATCAATTAGCCATTCAATGTGTCCTCTGTCCAATGGTAATGCTGAGAAAACTTCCCAAGTTTCATCCGGTGTTACTTCTTCTTTATAACTTTTAAGACATTGCATTTGGGCCGGGCGGTGGTGGCGCACGCCTTTAATCCCAGCACTCGGGAGGCAGAGCCAGGCGGATCTCTGTGAGTTCGAGGCCAGCCTGGGCTACCAAGTGAGTTCCAGGAAAGGCGCAAAGCTACACAGAGAAACCCTGTCTCAAAAAACCAAAAAAAAAAAAAAAAAAAAAAAAAAAAAGACATTGCATTTGACTTAAGTTGTTTTTAATTATACTTTATTTGTGATTTTAACATCATTATGAATAAATGATTATGTATGTACCAATCTGGGATTTGGACCATTTTTTAAATATTATTTATTTTATTTTATTAAGATTTATTTGTTTATTATGTATACAGTGTTCTACCTGCATGTGTCCCTGCAGGCCAGAAGAGGGCGCCAGATCTCATTACAGGTGGTTGTGAGCCGCCATGTGGTTGCTGGGAATTGAACTCAGGACCTCTAGAAGAGCAGTCAGTGCTCTTAACCATTGAGCCATCTCTCCAGCCCCTTGGACCATTTTCAAACAATACACACCTGTCATGAGACAGGCTCCAGCTCTATTTTCCTCCATGTATGGAGATACCTTAATTTTTCCTAGTAATAAATTATAAATTTGGAGTGTTTTACTACAAAAGTATACAATGCTAGATAAAAATGGTGGAATTGTATTAAAATAAGTCTGTGTTGCTCTTTATTTCTATAATTAACCAACGTTTCATTTGAGATATTTATATGTCCTGTTTTTCTGTATCTTTTTTGTCAGTTTAAATCCTATCTGATCACATTAATCAAGTATGAATACACATTTTTTATTTTATAATTTAATTTAATTTTACATATCAGCCACGGATATTCCCTTGCTCTCCCCCATCCCCCCTTCCACCCAGCCCACCCCCATTCCCATCTCCTCCAGGGCAAAGACTCCCCTGAGGATTGAGTTCAACCTGCTAGATTCAGTCCAGGCAGGTCCAGTGCCCTCCTCCCTTGTATAAGTCCCAGGTTCCAAACAGGCAGTTCATGCACTGAGGACAGGACCCAGTCCCACTGCCTGGATGAATATATACAAATTTTTAATATAGCAAAACTTCTCTCACTTTTCTTTACTAGTGTAATTTAGCTGTAGCAGTGATTTTCTTTTTTCCCCCCTTTTTTAATTGAGATTTTGTATTCATTTAAATACCAACCACTGATTCTCCTGTGCTGCTCCCTTCCTGTCCCCCAGCCCTCCCCCCAACCTACCCCTTATTCCCACCTCCCCCAAGGCAAGGTCTCCCATGGAGAGTCAGCAGAGCCTCAGTTGAGGCAGGTCCAAGCCCCTCCTCCCTGCACCAAGGCTGCACAAAGTGCAAAGTGTCCTACCATAGGCACTAGGCTACAAAAGCCGGCTCATGCACTAAGGATGAGTCCCATTCCCACTCCCTAGGGGCCCCCTAAACAGTTCAAGCTGAACAACTGCCTCACTTATCCAGAGGGCCTAGTCCAGTAGCATGGGGGCTCCTCAGCTATTGGTCCACAGTTCATGTGTCTCCACTAGTTTGGCTAGTTGTCTGTACTTTTTCCAATCATGGTCTTGATATCTCTTGCTCATAGAATCCCTCCTCTCTCTTGTTGATTGGACTCCTGGAGCTCTGCCTGGGACCCAGCCATGGATCTCTGCATCTGCTTCCATCAGTCACTAGATGAGAGTTCTATCATGACAATTAGGGTATTCAGCTATCTGATCACTGTAGCATGAATCTTAGAAGTTCTTATTAGCAAAATCAAACCTGAGCCAGGTATTGGGGTGAACACTGGAAGGTCAGAGAGACAGAACAAGCCACAACTAACCTGACCTGGCTAACTTCTCAGCTGGTCTTGTTTCCTCAGACTGGAAGCCTCTGTGTCCTCATATCCGAATGACTCTCAGCTGAACTGTGCTGCTAGAAGCCTGAAAGCTTAACCAGCCAAATGCTTCTAGTTTCTGGTCCTCATGCCTTATATGCCTTTTTGCTTTCTACCACCACTCCCTGGGATTAAAGGCTCCCTTTCTGGGATTAAAGGCGTGTGTCACTATGTCTGGCCATTTCCACTGTGGCCTTGAACTCACAGAGATCCAGAGGGATTTCTATCTCTGTAGTGCTAGGATTAAAGGTGTGAGTGCCACCATTTTCTAGCCTCTGTATCTAGTGGCTGTCTGTTCTCTGACTCCAGATAAATTTATTAGGGTGCACAATATTTTGGGGAACACAATACCACCACATATCACCAGAGTAGGTAAACTCAGGCACCCCCTCAATCATTGCCAATAGTCTATGGTGGAGTCATCTTTGTGGATTCCTGGGAACCTCCCTAGCACTCTGCTTCTCGCTACCCCCATGGTGTTTTTATTTATCATGGTTTCTCTTTCCTTCTTCTCCCACTCTTTTCCCATTCCAGCTCGAACCTCTCATTTCCCTATTCTCTCATTGCCCCGTCCCTTGCCTTCCATTATCCCCCCTCAACCCCAGTTTACTCATGGAGATCTCATCTACTTCTCCATTGCTGGGTGATCCTTGCATCTTTCCTAGGGTCCTCCTTACTAGCTAGCCTCCCTGGAGCTGTGGATTGCAGTCTAGTTATCCTTTGCTTTGCATCTAGTATCTACTTATGAGTGATTACATACTATATTTGTCTGTCTGAGACTGGGTTACATCACCCAGGATATTTTCTAGTTCCATCCATTTGCCTGCAAACCTCATGATGTCATTACTTTTCTCTGTAGCAGTGATTTTCAATTAATTGAGATTAATGGAAGAATTGAGTGATGCATTCATAGTAAATTCCTACACACTGCAATGTGTCTAAAATTATAAAGCAACTCTTTTAAATAAATATTTATCCTAAAACCTAACAAGTTAAAGAAGCACGGTGAGAAACTAACTATGAATTGGAAGACTTGGTTTCACACAGTGCATGCAGCCTATGCTTAACATTTTCAGGCATAGCTTCATCCTTAGTAAGCAGGATCTGAGAGCATGGTTGCAGGTGAGATGGCCATGGAGGGGATATTGTTTGCATAGACTGTTGTTGGAATCCAGGGAAATTCTTCTCTCCTCTACCATTTTCTGTTTCCTCACCACATTGGGTTCAGGTTAAGATCCACAGACTGGATCTGGCAGCACTTGCTTGCAGCCAACTTGTTAACTCCCCTGTGTAGAGGAGTGCCACAGATAATGGCTGCTTTTGACTGGAAAGACTTCCTGGATTATTTTGTGTCCAAACAGCTCTTCTATCATCACAGAGTAGAGAGGAGGTTCTTTGCTTCATTGTGTTGTGCCAGGACTTTTAAAAAAATTTAAATTGAATCTTTCTGTTTTTAAATGTATTTTTAATTTTATCTTTTGTTTTTATTTCCTCTCCATCTCTCTCTGTGTCTCTCTGTTTCTCTATCTATCTATCTATCTATCTATCTATCTATCTATCTTGGCCATATAGGTCCTTTGCATAAATAAAAATTGTAGTTTCTGTTTTTGTGGGTTTTTTTGAGTTCTGAGTGTGTGAAAAAATCGATCTCTCTGTGACTATGTGTTTCTTGTTCCTTTTCTTGGATCTTTTCCTCTTTGCTGATTTTTGTCTTATTCCAATATTTTTTGGACTCATTTTATTATTATCCCTCAGAAACTTGTTTGTTTTCTATTGAGACAGAAGGGGTGCATCCAGATGAGAGGGGAAATAGGGAGAAAGTGGAGTAGAGGGAAGAAAAAGCGAAATGAGAAGATTTCATACAAATAAAATATATAATTTTTAATTTCCAGATGTTCCTCAGTTAGGGATTTCTTTACTAATTTTATTTCCTCTTTCATGTCTTGAACAGTTTTATTCATCTCCTTCCATTGGTAGGAATGCAGGGATTCCTTCCAATCCAGGGATGCAAGTAGGTTAACGGCAGGCCTTCATTTCTGACTCTTTCACTCCTCCTTCAACCCCTGCTCTCATCCCCAGCTCTGTAACAGATCACCTACTGAGGCCTCCCCTCTCTGATATACCCATCTCCAGTGAATCATGCAGACCCTTTCTTCCGAACTTCCTTACCACATATACTGCTATCTCAATCCACAGTGCCAACAGGACTCTCCTCAGGCTTGTTCCCTAGAAACTAAGCAGATCTCAGTGGAACACCTTGTCTCCTCCTTGCCTTTGGACCCATTCAGATACCCTCTAAGCTCATCTCCATTTCTAAGTTTCATCTCACAATAACTAGAAACATATTTTACCTTGAAGGGTGAGTGACCAAAATTAGAATGATCATAGACAAAGTTTCTACCAGGTAACTTCAGACACACTACTCTCCTAACAATGGGAGAAGGCTAAAGAAATTAAAAAACACAGTGTCCACAAAAGAAAGACTAGTTCAGATATTACCACCTAGAATTATAATCATACTAAATCTAGATGCCTAGACATCAATGCAAAAATACAATCAATAATAACCAGAACACTATGTCTCCATTAGAGCCCCACAACACTACTGCAGTATCCACTGAGTGGGGCAACACAGCTGGATCACATGACAAAGATGGAAAAATATCATTTAAGCATATAATAGAGGTTTTTAAAGATGAAAAGAAAAAATCCCTTAAAGACATCTATGAAAACATAAATAACGGAAGGAAATTCATAGAACTGTTCAAGACAGAAACATGGAAATAGAATCACTAACTAAATCCATAACTGAGGATAATCTGGAAATTAAAAATATAGGAACTCAAACATCAACCTCAGATACAAACAGCCAAGCATAGTGACATGTGCCTTTAATCCCAGTATCAACCATTGAGATGTGGAGGTTTGTACAGACAGGCAGTGACAAGGAAGTGAGGTAGCTGAGTTAAAGCCAATGAGAGGACAGAGCATCAAGGCAATAGAGGCATGGGTAAACAGGAAGTAGCTCATTTTTGGAAGTTTTGGAGATGGTGAGGTAAGGTAGCTGGTGCCTATCACTATTTCCCTGATCTCTGAGGCTTTCACGCCTATATTTGGCTCTGTGTTTTACATTGTATAAGACTGTTTAGAAATTTGTCTGCAATTGGTGCCCAGGTGGCAAGAATTCATTGAATAACCATTGGTGGCCTTACAGGCCAGGGGTTACAGGCCCCTGGCTTGGTTGGAGCTTACAAGCCCCCAGGCTTGGCCTTTGCTACAAGCAATCCAGGCTACATGCAGCCAGAGCTGCACTTGACTGTAGGTACAAGCAGCCTTAGCTACAAGCTGCCAAACCGCTTATGGGGATACAGAGCCCCTGTCTCAGTCCCTGCATGGCTCAGGCCAGAACACGTGACTAGACTTTCTTAAGCTTTTTTTTCTCTTGGTGGATAGTAGGCTCTCTCTCTCTCTTTCTCTCTGTCTCTGTCTCTGTCTCTGTCTCTCTCTCTCTCTCCACATTTTAGACTGCTACCTTACTAGGTAGTTGCTTTGAAATTCCCTTGGACTTCTACTTTTCTATGCAGACTTGGTAAGTCCATTAAGATAACTTAAAGGGAGAAACTAGTTAAAGGAGAATTTTATCCACATTAAAAAATGGGAAATATTTTTACAATGGAAGTAAATTGGTCTTTGTTTGATAACCCATTAAGCAGTCTGAAAATGGAAAAATTGAATGGGAAGATAATTAATGTTGATTGAATGTATGTAACATCAATTATGAATATTATTTGTTTAATTGTCCTTTTTTTTTTCGGTTTTTCCGAGTCAGGGTTTCTCTGTAGTTTGGCACCTTTCCTGGAACTCACTTTGTAGACCAGGCTGGCCTCGAACTCACAGAGATCCTCCTGCCTCTGCCTCCCGAGTGCTGGGATTAAAGGCGTGTGCCACCACCGCCCGGCTTAATTGTCCTTATTTTAGTATTAAAAATGTTGGCCAATTTAAGTGCCAAGATAAAAGCTTTTGAAAAACCTGTTAAAATGAATTATAGAGAAATTCATTCAGACAAATGAATTTAAAGATGAAATTATTACAGGGTTGAATTATATGGATACAGAGAGACAGCCTGTTTTTAAACAACCAAACTTAATTTATCTGATAACCTTCTAGAAACTACTTGCTCATGGGCATGTACTTGCTGATTAGATTCCAGTGGAAATGTTAGATTTAAGGAGATTTAAGGAAGCTATAGTATCATGTCGCATGTATTCTCTATTCATAAAACAAATGTTAAACTCATGGTCAACTTGTAATAGAATTATTCCTCAGGACTGGAAAGGTTTGGTAACATCTGTCCTGGAGTCTGGACTACAATTACAATGGCAAACGTGGCTTAAGTATGAGCCTAAGAAATAGAACACCAATGGAGAACTAGAGGTGTGGAAGTTTCCCAGCATCAGCTTCTTGGAGAAGGTGAATACTCTAATATACAAAGACAATGTTTATATGATAACCAAACCTTAATTCTATGCCCCATGGCAGCCGTGAATGCATGGGACAGAATTGAGAAAGTAGGAAAAAGATTGAATCATTCACAAAAGTTTTACAGGGACCCAGAGAAACCTTCATGGATTTCTTACAACGGCTGTCTTAAGCAGTAAATGGAATGATACCAAATTCAGAAGCTAGACAGGTAATAATTGAATCTTTGGTTTTTGAGAATGTGAATGCAGCATGTAAAAGAATAATCTTGCTGGTAAAGGCAAGGTCAACACCCTTGGAGGATTGGATCAGGAACACAATTAATATTGAGTCTCATGACCATGATGATATGTGGGTAGGAGAGTTATATTCAAAAGCTTTGAGGAAAAAATGTCCAATGTTGCTGTTGTGGTAAACAAGGTCATTTGAAAAGGGAGTATAAACAGGGCATTCGTAGAAAGGATGCTTATTCAAGGAACAATGACAACACAATGCTCCTCCCTTCTGGATTATGCAGAAGGTGTGGTAAAGGTAAACATTGGACCAACTAATGTAGATATAAATAATAAGCCATTAACACAATTCAGGCAGGGTTAGCACACACCCTTAATCCAAACACCTGGCAGGCAGTGTCTCTGTGTGTTCAAAGACACATTAGGGAACAGCCAAGCATGGTGACACATGCCTTTAATCCAAGTTGCAACCATAGAGACTTGGAGGTCTGTACAGACAGGCAGTGACAAGGAAGTGAAGTAGCTCTGCTAAGAATCAATGAGAGGGCAAAACAGCAAGGTAATGAAGGTGTGAGTAGACAGGGAGTAGCTCAATTTTGGAAGTTGCAGAGCTGAATGGGTAAAGTAGCTAATAGCTATTCCTACTTTCCTGAAATCTAAGGCTTTCACCCCTATATTCGGCTCTGTGTTGTTTATTTTAAAAGACTATTTGGAAATTTGTCTACATCTTGGGTTTTGGGTGTTTTCTTTTACTGAGCATGTTGGTTTAGGCACAAATAATTTTATTAAAACTAAGTATTGCATCTCCCACATTCCTGGTTTCATGTTTCATCTGTTGACAGTCTTGTCTGAGCACCTGTAGGCCATTATCAGGCAAGAGGGATAGCTTGATGGATGGCAAACTGAACTCAAGTTTGGGACAGGAGTAGAGTCTTGTACTGGGTCAAATACTCATTAAACAGTTGATTTTTTTTCCTCAGTAGAAGACCTCATTTTTCCTAGATACTATGAGTATCAGATCTTAACACATTTAACTACATTGTATTCTTTTATTAAGCTAGCAGTACTCTCCACACATATTTGACAGATAGGCCATCCTATGGCTACAGGGTCCAGTCACTTGGACTGATGTATCACAGGGAATTTCCATGGTCCCAACATTTGGCTAAAGCCCCCTTTGTCTTTGGCAATGAAAAAGTTTTGAGGCATGTGGAAGTTCAGGGGTTGAGGCAAATTCAGAGATTTTTTTTTAATTTTTTGAGACAGAGTTCCTCTGTGTAGCTTTGTGCCTTTCCTGGAACTCACTTTGGAGACCATGCTGGCCTCAAACTCACAGAGATCCGCCTGAATCTGCCTCCCAAGTGCTGGGATTAAAGGTGAGCATCACCATTTTTTTTTTTTTTTTTTTTTTGGTTTTTCGAGACAGGGTTTCTCTGTGTAGCTTTGCGCCTTTCCTGGAACTCACTTGGTAGTCCAGGCTGGCCTCGAACTCACAGAGATCCGCCTGCCTCTGCCTCCCGAGTGCTGGGATTAAAGGCGTGCGCCACCACCGCCCGGCTTGAGCATCACCATTTTTAAGGCTTGAATGTCTTTCATTTACTCTCAGTCAAGATTAGGGGCTTAGTTCTCCTACTTTGTGCTTATGTATAGAGGCATTGCAGTTTCCAACAAACACTGAAATACCCAGCTGCACCCAGGATTTCCGGAATCTGTCCCTTAGTCTTTATAGTTGGAATCTGCAGTTCTGTGTGGTCTGTAATTCCCTCAGGTATGTTTTTATTCAATCTCTGCAGGTATAATTTTAAAATACACCAGTTGGTTCTGGCTCTGATATTTGCCATTGAGGAGATCAATAGGAACCCTCATCTTTTACCAAACATATCTCTGGGATATGACATCTATAATGTCCCATACAGTGAGAAAAACATTCTTATGAATGCTCTTTTTTGGATCACAGGTCAGAGTAGACTTCAAAGAATTCACTGTAATTATAACTGTGTAAACAAGAGAAAGTTAACTGCTGCAATAACAGGACTATCATGGGCAAAATCTGCTCATATTGGGACACTGCTTCAGCTCTACAAATTTCTACAGGTAAGGAGTGTATGGGATATAAATGCAGATCCCTTTGCTGACATTTCAGATGTGTCCATAGGTAAAAAGGTGTATTTGGATTAGTTAGATATCAATGACAATTGTCCAGACAATTGGAGATGGATCTCTATTTAAGGAACTGGGAAAAGAAAGGGGAGGTTGGAGTAGACAAGGAGGATTAATAAAAATAGAAAATAGGCCAGACATTTACTGAAAACATCTCTCACAGAAATTTGCCTTTAAATCAGGGTGAATCCATCATTGTGCTAACCATTTCCATCTGTTTCTGCAGAACAAGGATTGTGCTTAATACCATTGTTCTTTCTCTTATTTCCAATTTTTTTTTCTCTTCAGCTCACTGTTGGTCCTTTTGAGCCTATCTTCAGTGACCGAGGTCAGTTTATTTCTCTCTACCAGATGGCCCCCAAAGGCACAACTCTGTCTCTTGCCATGGTCTCTTTGATGCTTCATTTTGGCTGGACCTGGATTGGTCTGCTTATCCGAGATGATCACAGAGGGACTCAGTTTCTAGCAGATATCAGAGAAAAGATGGAGAAAAATCAAGTCTGCATTGCTTTTGTTGAAATGATCCAAAGTACCTTGAATTCATTATCATACAAATACTGGAAAAGTCTTGGCATCATCCAGGAAACATTGGCCAATATTATCATCATTTATGGTGACAATGATTCACTACAAGGTTTAATGAGCAACATAGGGCAACAGATTTTGATGAGTAAAGTCTGGGTCATGACCTCTGAGTGGGATGTTACTAATATCGCTGATTATTTCTTGCTAGATTCATTCCACGGAAGTCTCATTTTTTCACAACACCATAAGCAGGTGCCTGAATTTAAAAATTTTATTCCAACGGTTAATCCTTATAAATGCCCAGAAGACAATTACCTTCCTAAGTTGTGGTTTTTGTTCTTCAAGTGCTCATTTTCAGAGCTTGATTGTCATCTTTTGGACAATTGCCAACCCAATGCTTCCTTGGAATTACTGCCTGGACATATGTTTGAGATAGTAATGAGCGAAGACAACTACAATACATACAAGGCTGTCTATACTGTGGCCCACAGTCTCCATGAGATGAGTCTTCAGCAAGTACAAATGCAACCATTTGGAAATGGGGAAAGAATGGTGTTCTTCCCCTGGCAGGTAATATTCCTTCCATTGTTGAGAGCATCAACAATGTGAAATTTTGAGAGTCTTCTGAGGCACCAAACTAGGTATTACATATTTCAGTATTTTACATATAGTATATGTATATATACATACATATGTGTGTGTGTGTGTGTGTGTGTGTGTGTGTGTGTGTGTGTGTGTGTGTGTGTATGTGTGTATCCATCCACAGGAGATTCTTCACATGTTGTCATATCTTCTAGGTCAGTGCAGATCTTTCTGTTCATGTTGCTGAGGAATAAGATGCTAGTGGCAAAGAAGAAATGATTTTAATGAATATAAAAATTATGTCACAAATATCTGCACAATTTTTTCATTGTAATGATTACATCAGAAACCTAAGAATTTTAGTCATAAGTACTCACATTTTACTCAATAAAATTTGGGATGAACCCTGTGTGTAAATGGGTATAGCTTTCTTGTAAAGAAATTGAGATTTGCTTCAATCAATACTCACGGATTCCATTTCTAAGTTTGTATAGAAGATGTTCTTGAGGCTGACTGTTCCTCAGAAGTAGAATTGTATCCCATTAACTTAGGTCACCATTGCTGACCTTCAATGATACCTACATTATTATTGTGTCCTACACCACAGATAATGAACATTGAGAGTTATTCTATAATCCATTAGTGGTCAAACTCTCAGACCTACATTAAAACATATTCTTGCATCACTTTCAGCTTCATCCTTTCTTGAGGAATATCCATGTGGGAGCCAACATGGCTTTAGAATGGAAACAGAAGTTAGATGCTGATAAGTATGATATTCTCAACTTTTGGAATTTTCCAAAGGGTCTTGGAAAAAAGTGAAAGTAGGAAATTTTTTGCCCAATGCTCCCCAGAGTCAACAATTGACTTTATCTGAGAAGATGATACAATGGCCAGAAAGATATTTAGAGGTGGGTTATATATTATATATTATTTCAATGCATTAAACTTATCATAATAATACAAATATATCCCCCAGTATAACAACTTCTACTTTTGAAATTAAATCCCAGTACTATAAATTTCTCAGTAGACAAAGACAAAAAATAACTACTAGTGCTTTATCATCCCCTGCTTCTCAAAAATGGATGTTTTTTAGCTTTAAATGTCTGCTAATATTCAGTTGTTAATGGGTTAAATTTTGTCAATTTGACACAAATTAAGTACACCTGAGAAGTGGTAAATGCTATGCTCATAATGTCTCAGACACTCTGATGTAGAAAATCTCTACATTCACAACAGAACACTGAATAATTTATATTTTCTTGCTATGATCAAACACCATCACCAGAAGTGACTTTTGGAAAAAAGAGTTTACCTGACTTATGGCTCTGGAGTTACAAGTGTCCTTTATACTCAGGAGGCATACCACTGTGTGGCATCCATGGAGAGATGGGCAAGAACCTGAAACAGAATGTCTCAGTGCACACACTGGAAGCAAAGAGTGAATACTGGAATTAGGTGTGGGTCATAAATTTGCACAATCCCCAACCACTGAAATAATTCTGCCAATAAGTCTGCAACTCTCAAAGTTGCAATAACTGTCAAGATAGCACCACCACTGAGGAAATACATACTCACATATCTGTGTTTATAATTGCCTCTTTTAATTCAAACCAATACACAATGTCTCTATTAGAATTCCTTCACTGTTTCTAAAATTTGAGTAGTTTATCTTGATTCCATGCTTAAAATTGTAGAAGATAAATAGTTATCATTTCTTTTATCCACCCCTTGAATTGAAGTACTACAGTGTGCATGTGTGTGTTATCTCTTGTTCTGCTACTGAAGATATATACATACCTAATGTTACTTAAGCAAGTGTTTCTTTTGGATGACAGTATGAGTCTTCAGCCCTTATCTTTGGAAATTTATTGCTCTAGGAGCATGACATTCCTGATGACATCATATTCTCAGTCAATAAAAAAAAGCAAATACGACGAATCACCTTTTTCTCATTCTCAATTCTGAGACAACAGCCTATAGAATGGTGATGCTCACTCTTAGAGTGAACCCTTTAAACTTCTCTTTAAAAACACTCACAGGGATGCCCAGCAATTTGTTTACATGGTGATTTTAAGTGCTGTCAAGTTGACATGCAAGATTTACAACCATGGTGGAAATAAAAGTTTCTCAACACATTAGAATGCAAGCAAAGAGACAAGATCCATCTAGAAGGACCACTTTACCTTCTAGGTCCTGTCTTCTATGACTTCCCTACATCAAACTTGTCCCTACCTCATTATGATCCGAACTGTCTAATAATGGGATAATCCTTAGACCAATTTTGTACTGATCATAGATGCTCAAATTCCTTTTCTAATTATATAGGAATAAAACTTGCAAATTAATTATGTGATATTAAAAAATATTACTGAGACTTTCAATGAACCATGAAAATTTGTTAACTTTGCTCCATTTTCTCTCAGATTCCTCATTCTGTGTGCAGTGAGAGCTGTGGTCCTGGATTCAAGAAAGTTTCCCTAGAGGGCAAGGCTGTTTGCTGCTATGATTGCACTCCTTGTGCAGACAATGAGATTTCCAATGAGACAGGTAAGAATAAATCTTACAGAAATGGTTCTACATTTCTACAGGATTCTGCATTATTTTAAAAACTGAAAAATATCTAGAGAGAAGTCACACAAAGGTATTCCTTCTCTTATTTAGGATATGAAATGTTCATCACCATGTCTTAAAATAGTGCAGAGTAGGCATTGAAATTTGTAATTGATTTACATTTCTTTTTTTTTACCTTCTTTATTCTCCATATTTTTTTTAATTTTTATTTTGCAATACAATTCAGTTCTAAATATCAGCCACAGATTCCCTTGTTCTCCCCCCTCCCGCCCCCCTCACCTTCCCCCTAGTCCACCCCCCATTCCCACCTCCTCCAGGGCAAAGCCTTCCCCGCGGCATTTCTGATCAACTTCAGCTATTGTTTCCTGCAGGAAACCCCTATTCTCTGTACTAATCAATATGCTTTATTTCCCCACATAATTTAACACATAGTAATAAAGTGCACAAATTGGATGTTTTCCCAACTGTATTTCAATAATGATTAGAACTCACCTAAATGAAGGATAGGTTATTTTAATAATGATTCTTCCCAGCAAGAACTGAAAATTAGCAATTTGTGTTTGATATCCCCACTACATAATTATTGACTATACTGTATAAATAAAATTTCAAATTTCTTTAATGAATAGGATTATGTCCATTTTTCTGCTACAATTCTGAGAAACAGTATATAAAACAATATCCTCAAAGCAGTTCCATCAGTCTGTTACTGAGAGTTGTACCAAGACCTAAGAATTGCAATGGAATATAGAATCTCCATTTAGAAGAATAGTTAATGAACATATTCACATCATATTTCATTGGGAATAAAAATCTTTAAAAGCTAGTATTTCCATACCTAATACTAATTTTGTGACCAGGTTTATTTCAATTTTGAAATTTTGAAAAGTTTTCTATTCTTTGAGAATTTCATACTATGTATTTTGATCATAATCATACCCCCCAAATCTTCCACTTTCCTACCTAACTTCTTTTGCCTCTTGTTAAGAAAATTAAGAAAAACTCATTGAATTCAGTTTCTGCTACCCAATTACTCTTTGGAGTGGAGTCCCTGATGGAATATGGAATAATTCCTACAGCCACATTCCTAAAGTTTAAAGTGCCTTCCCCTTGTTTTAGCTATGAGGTCAAATAGCTTCTCAGTGAAGTGTAGTACTTTATGCCAACTCTCCATACATAAAGATATTTGGTCTGCCCTGAGCTTCACATGTTATACACATGATATTAAACCTCGAATTTATATATTCAACTGTCCAGCTGTGTCTGAAAGTTTCTATTCCCTTGAAGTATTTCAGGACCTCTGACTTTTACATTCTTTCTTCAACTTCTTTCATGGATTTCTCACATTGAGATGTAAAGGACTGGGCCCTCAAGCTGCTATTCAAAAGAAACACACTTTTACTGAATATGCATGCACATATTCACACACACACACACACACACACACACACACACACACACAAACACACACACACAATAGTTTTTATTACATGTATCATGTGCTTTTTGTAAGTAATGGAGTTATACATGTGAGTTCCATTAAAACTTAGAAAACAGAAACAAAATGAACACCTCCATATAAAAGAGAAGGAAATAACAGAGCCTGAGGTTATACCTTGAAAGAAGGTCCTGAGAACAGATATAACAATGTATTACAATAGCTGAAGGAAACATTATTTACAAGGTATATAGAAATAAGTTTTATTCTACTATAGTGAATTCAATAATATGTTAAAAAATTTTGCCAACAAAATAAAATGAAAAATCTGTTGATGAGTTTCTTTTTAAAATCATACAAAAATGACAGTGGAAATCTGGCGTGCATAAATTACTGTTCTTGTACTTCAAATACAAGATGAATTTTATGAATTTTCAAGAGCAGAATATTATAACACTGTTTTATTTCATACCCTAAAACTGTCTCAATAGTTCTAACCTTTCCCCAGTTTGAATGACGACTCTTCACTATTGCACTAGTCAAGCCTGTTACAATGTAGTAATGCCTATTCACTGAAGCTTCCACAGAGAAGAGTCAATATTAGAAAACAGGAAGCAATTTATAATGATAAGAAAATTGAGACCCTATTTTTAAGAAGAGTATTTTAAGAAAATAATTTCAAGAGCACAATTCCTCTTTTGCACTATTCAAATTAATAATGTGGTATGACTTATGATGTGGTTTCAGAAATAAAGTATGGTTATGTATTTTAATTCAGTATTCTAATAACTTCCAAAAGAGATACACCAATAGCACAAGAGGCTTGAAGGTGTATAAGAGAGAAAAGTGTAAGGTGTACTTAATTTACATCACTATAAAGAAGATGGGTTGTATGAGAAGCTACTAGTAATTGATAACTACTACCAAAAGAGGAACACCACTTTTCTTTAAGGTTGTGGACTCTGAAATGTTGCCCATATTCCAGTTGTTGCCTCCATAATATGTAAATACTAGCATCACTGAATAGACTCAGTGAGTATTAAAATGTAAAAAGAAGAGACAAGAGAGCACATTAATTTGGGAAGTAAAAGTGGGAAAAGTAGAGGAATGGAGCAAGAGGAAAGAGGGCTGAGTTAGATCAACACACTTTATAAGTTCACAAAAATAATAACTAAAATAACAGATAAGGAAGTTGGGTGGTATAAATATGAAAATGTTCACTACAGAGTTTGAGTTTCTTTGTCCCTGAGAAAAAAGGAAAGTGATGTACATAGCAGTTCTGTCCAAAAGTATAGAAAAATAGCTTAGGATATAAGGGATAACTTCATCTTGGATTCAATCTCACCTTCATTTCTGATCAGGTATGGAAAAGTACATCAAGTGTCCAGAGAGTCATTATGCAAACTCAGAGAAGAAACACTGCCTCCAGAAAGCTGTGAGTTTTCTTAACCATGAGGACCCCTTGGGGATGTCTCTCACAACCATAGCTCTGTGCTTCTCTGTACTCACAACTGTGGTTCTTGGACTCTTTGTGAAGCACAGAGACACTCCAATTGTCAAAGCTAATAATAGGACCCTTAGTTACACATTGCTTATCACATTCACTGTCTGTTTCCTATGTGCCTTGCTCTTCATTGGCCATCCCAACAATGTAATCTGTATCCTGCAGCAGATCATATTTGGAGATGCTTTCACTGTGGCTCTTGCCACTGTGTTGGCCAAAGCTATCACTGTGGTTATTGCCTTCAAGGTTACTTTTCCAGGGAGAGTGGTGAGGTGGTTAATAATATCAAAGGCTCCGAACTTCATCATCCCCATATGTACTCTGATCCACCTTGTCTTCTGTGGAATCTGGGTAGGGACTTCTCCTCCCTTCCTTGACCAAGATGTTCATGCTGAACATGGACATATCATCCTTGTGTGTAACAAAGGCTCAGATTTTGCCTTCCATGGTATACTGGGATATCTCTGCTCCTTGGCAATTAATTGGGAGTTTTACAATGGCTTTCATGTCATGGAATCTGCCTGACACATTCAATGAAGCCAAGTTCCTGTCATTAGCATGCTGGTGTTCTTCTGTGTGTGGATCACATTCCTCCCTGTCTACCACAGCACCAAGGGGAAGGTCATGGTGGCTATGGAAGTCTTCTCTATCTTGGCTTTTAGTGCAGCCCTACTTAGCTTCATTTTTGTCCCTAAGTGCTATATTATCTTAATAAGGCCAGATAAGAACTCAGTTCATCATATCAGGAAAAGGCCACATTCAGAAGGAATAACCCTCTCAAAACCTAGTTCAAAACTCAACATAGTTCTCATATTAAGACATAAATTTCAAAGATGAAGTCCAGCTGATCTCTACTGAAAATACGTATTATGCAATTAGAGTATGTGTTTGATTCTTTGTGCTTTTACATGGTCATCTGCTTACAGGAAAATTTCTGTCTACAGTCATCCAATTGTACTAGAGCCTCTTTATACTTGAGCTATTGGAGTTATCCATACTTGAAATCCAGGTTGTATTTTCATAAGAGCAGGACCTCAGTATGTATCTGGGCTTCTCTGAAACCTTCTGTGAAATCATGATATTTTGAACGCATAGGGATCCACCTATATCTGCCTCTGCTCTTCTGAGATGGACATCCTTACGCCACCTCTTCTGGGATTAAAGATGGCCAGTCCCACCACCCCACCATATTCTTCTGTAATATAGCCTGCTAAGATTCATATTATTGATTTAAATTGCTTGAAAGCATCAAGTATATTCTCTTTTCCAATTGTACTCATCACATGTTGTTTTAAATTTTGAAAGTGTTTCCTAGTAAAATTTTATCTTGTCTTTCAATAACTGTGGTAAAATATATAGATCAAAATTTTATTTTACATTCAACTTTTAATATACCAGATTTGTACAAGAACATCCATCTTCAATAAAGTATCATGCTTTCATTCATGTTTATGTAATTATACTGAAGAATATGGGATTTTCAAAATGTAAATGTAATCTTCTTAAACATAATATTTCATCAGTCATTGAATAATATGTTACATGCTAAGTTATAATGAAGACTTACAAAGAATTATATTTTATTACCCAATGTCAAATGTCAGTCAATCAGAACAAGTAACTAGTTCTAACTACATGAATGCCTTATTTGTCCTCTGATGACATATGTTACATTTCCACCTGTTTTAAGTCTATCTGACTACCACCAGTTCCCTTTTAATCTAGGCATTTTCACATCATTTATCTAAATGCTGCTTCCAATTAACTGCTTCTCCTTGAATTAGTATATACTCTTCATTTAAAATCGTGAGTAGGTTATAGCCTGCCACTTTATTATTACACATTTCTGCAGAATTCATCGCCATTTCATACAAATACATTCAATACATGAAGTAAAATATTTTCTCTTTCCACATCATTAACTAAAAGCAAAATTGTATAACATTGTTAGACTTTTTCTACTGTGAGTTTTGTCCTAGCTGTGGTGACTCTTTTGCTCTTATGTCTATATACTAGGCTAGGAGGTTTCACAAATGCTATTGTTAGCTATACTTGAACATATTTACTGCTTGTCAAGAGGGAAACCTACCCTAGTTATGGAAACCAGAACATCAACCAAGAACTAGTGAAGTCTTGGATCTCAGAGGAGAAGCTATAACTGCCACTTTACTAAAATAGCATAGTCCCTAAACATTCTAAATATTTGTTCTCATACATACAATTAAGTCTATTCTTCAGATCTCTTTAAGGATATGTCATATTGAAACAGATGCATACAATTATACAAGGCCACAAGCAATCAAATTGAATAATTGTGGATCCCAGTTCCAATTGCTACATTTACAGTAAATGCTCCCCTAAGGTTCAGGTTTCATTGATGAAGATGGGACAGAATGAATCTAAGTGCCTGAGAACCTGCGAGTTTGCTGTGAGATTATGTCTCTTAGGAATGTTATACATTACCCATAGAGACATATAATGTCTGATCAAAATGACTTCATAAATATGAGCTGAACTAAGAACACAACAATAGGCATACAGATGTGAATGGCAAACCTCATTAGACCTCAACCACACTAAGATTACAGGGAACAAAGTAAAGCTGACAGAGGAAGAAAAAGTATTCCATGAGACAAAGCACACTAAATAATTTGTAAGACAAAATAGTATTCATATACAATTTAGAATTATATATTTATATGTATTCATATACATGAATCATATAATACATAATTTATATATTATAATGGAAACTATATGTAGAGATTATATATTATATAAGGTATATATCATATATAGGAATTATACATACATTTATATTCCTAATATTTACTCACAGATATTTCAATATATATATGTAGTAACAACTTAAAAAATGTATCCATGATTTTGTAATCAAGAAAGAATAGGTATTCAGGATCATTTAGTCAGAGAGAAGTGAAGAGAAAATGATGTAATTTCACTATAATATGAAAAATAACAATGCAGTTCTATTAACTGGTATTTAAAGTGGATTTATATCTTCTATATATTTTTTAATGTTGTTCTTTATATTCCCTTGCTAAGTAATTAAATATGTTGTGAAATTAATTATCCTTCAATTCACATCAAACTCTTTCTTAAAGAGTTGTCCTCTACAGCTGTGGATTCTGCATGGAACCAGAGTAGACCTTCTACATATGGGAGATGATTGTGTAGCTGGATCTGTTTGAGGGACCCTGTGTGATCAGGATCTATACCTGTTGCAGGAACTGGCTTTCTGGATCCCATTACCTGTGGTGGGACACCCTGCTCACCCTTGATGTGGCCAGGAATGGCATGGTCCTGCCTTATCCAAATGTACCAGACTTAGCTGTCCTCCCATGGGAGAACTTACATTGTTGGAGGATAGGATGAACTTACCCTGTTGGAGGTGGGTTGGGGAGGGGGGAAGGCAGGGGCAGAGAAGGAGGAGGAAAGAGAGGGGTCTGTGGTTGGTATGTAAAATGAATAAAAAAAGAGAGTACACCAAATATGCTTGCCAAGGGAACATGTGTTAAGGCTAGCCCCCTCCAAAAAATAAAGATGCTTGAGCAAAGGTGAATCTGGACAATAAATTCAATAGAGAGTAAAAAAAGTTGTCCTCTAATAAAAACAATGGAATAAATTAATTTATACTTGAATGACAATGAATTCATGGAGATAATTCTTCTTACTCTCAGCTTTAATCTAATAGTAAAAAAATGAGACTAAAATTTCGCACAGTATAGATATTTTTGTTTTAGAAACATGTTGAAAATAATAATTTATTCATTTTAACTATGGGACAGGAGAGCCTAACATTCTATTAACATCCTGTACAGACCAACAAATCGAGTAAAAAACAAGGTGCATTTTTCTGATGCTTCCAAGATACACACTTCACAATCAAGGTCAGTCATTGCATACTTAAAAAAGATTATAAAATATTACTAGGAAATGAATCTAAGATGAAAGCAGGCATAGCTATTTTTATATTATATAATGAAATAAAGTTCAAACCCAAACTAAACAGAATAGGTTGAGAAGGATATTACATAGTAATCAAAGGGAAAATATAGTGAAAACATACAACAATTCTAAGCATTGCAACAAATGCCAGGCACAAAAGTTTGTAAAAGGAACAGTACTGCTGCTAAAATCACATATTGATCAAAACCCAGTGATACTAGGTGACTTCGGTACCCTAATCACACAAATAGGCTGGTCTTCCAGACATAATCTAAACAAAGAAACACTGGAGTTAGATAACATCATGAATCAAATAGACATGACAGACACCTATGGAATATAACAACCAAACACTAAAGAATAATTCTTTATTCCAAGAATTCACAAAGCTTCCTCCAAAATTGACCACAAATAAGGAATAAACAAGTCTCCACAGTTACAAGAAAACTGAAATAATACCGTAGACTATATCCTACCACTATGAATTAAAGCTGGATATCAACAATATCAATAGGAAATATACAAACTCCTGGAAGCTGAACAACTCACTACTGAAGGAACAGTGGGTCAAAACAGAAACCAAGAATGAAAATGAAAACACAGCATATCCAATGTATGAGACACAATGAAGGCAGTTTCAAGAGGCAAGTTCAAAGCACTGAATGCCTAAATAAAAACACTGGAGTGATTTCTTATTAATAACTTCATTACAAACTTGAATTCTCTAGAAAAACAATATTTGAAAATGGTAGATAAAAAGAAATAAGAGGGCTAGAAATCATGGCTATAAAAATCAAGGATGAAATCAATGAGATAGAAACAAACAACAATAGCATAAACCAAATGAAGAATAAAAAAATGAAAGGTTGTTTCCTCAAAGAAATTAAGAAATGACAAAGCCTTAGCCAAATTAGTCAACAAAATGAGAGAGAATATCTAAATTAATGAAGCTAGATATGAAAGAGATGACTTTACAACAGATCCTGAGGAAACTGAGAGAAACACAAGGAAATTCTTGTTGGAGACACACTGACTCCAGCTTGTGGCCTGATTCCATCTTGACTTAAGATCAGAGAGTTCAAGCTTGTCTTTGCTCCTCAAGGCTGAATAACAGGATGTTTGGACAAAGGTGTGGTTACTAGATGTTTTGATGATTAAGAAGGTGTTTATGCTTGTTTGTTCCTTGAACCATGGTGAGAAAGATGGCCTTTTGCACCCTTTGCTTTGGGTATAAAAAGGCTATGAGAAATAAATTTGGGGCTGCTGTAGTATTCACTGAGAGCCCTCCTGATTCTGTC